AAGCCCCCCAAGTCTTTTTTTTACACGCTAATAGAATGCATTATTTGTAAAGGGCTGAAGTCATCTACATTTCTGAAACCTCAATGTGTAATTACCTAAAGAATCACTGACATCTCTACTACTAGTGGCTTTTTAATAAGGAAATCTCCATTTTAGAAACCTCTTTTACTGAAAGCTCTGATTATACCTTCATAACCTGGCCAGGTATGCTATTACGATTTTCTCACTTTACTTATTTTTTCTATTTTTAGGGCCACAGATCAGGTTATCACTGCCACAAAAATGAACCTACTTACTCCACACAGGATGGTACTGTGAAGACTTCAGATGGCACTCTATAACTGGAATTAGTAAGAATACTGATGTTTCCAGTTGCCAGGGGTTTTCAGTATAGATGTAATGTACCAGACACATATCAAATTTAACACATACCTCTGTTAAGACATCAGCAAGTTCAGCATGAACTTTAGTACGTAGAGATGTTCTGGCCACATCTATAAGTGTTTCTCTGTCCATCTCTTTGCTTACTTTGACTTGTTCCAAAAACTGAAGTGCCTTTTCCTTTGCAGCTTCAAATCCTTCCGTAATTATTCTGGGATGAAGACCCTATAATAAACGCACAATTACAAAACCGCCACTAACAACAGAGACCTTCAGTTAGATGCAACTATAGCTCACGATAAAGCAAATTTATGAAGGGATATTCTGGATCATTCATACCCTTAAACACAATTAATATAATGTGCTGACTTTCTGAATACATTTAAAAGGATAAATAGTCCTTTCAATGCAGAGGAAAAGAACAGACATTGCTCTAGCACAGAGTCAAAGCCAAGGGAACTATAAAGCACACTTGGGTGTTCACTGTGCAAACCACAAGGGATAACACCCAAAACTCAATACTGTGTCATAACAACTGGCAGTCAATAGGACCATTATATCTTTCCTATAGGTGATATGAAATTAATTCACACCATTTACTAATAAAATAAACAGGGAGACTAAGAGTCTGCTTTCTCTCTCTTCCCAGGAATTCTTCCTAACATCAGATTAGTACTCACTGAGGTTTGCTTTAACCTTGGAACTACTGAGGGCTAAAAAAGTTGTAGTATTCTTATTTAAATTCAAGGTTTTTGTTAGCTTTTTCCTTAAAAATATGCCTAATCCTGAATATTCCATTTCTACATCACAATTATTAATCTGTTATAGGCATATAAAAACTGTATATGCAATGCAACTTGATAAAAAACACATTTCAGGCCAAGGAAGATTCTTCAACTCATCCAGGATCATAGTAAATTTGTGTCACAGTAGGATACAGACCCTTGTTCCCATATTTAACCCCATGCTCTTTACATTCTATTATATGGCCTCAGTTACCACTAGCACATCAGTTTTTATAAGTAAAAGTAAGATTATTTCCTATATACAATAAAATATCACAGAAACACGAGAATCATGTATACTTCAGAAATGTAGAGATCCGCCTGCTTCAGGAGCTCTCCAATAATTAGGACATTGGAAGTGGTACCATCACCAGTTATGTCATCCTGGGCTGTTGCTACTTTGGCTATTAAGGAGGCTGTTGGGTGTTGAATTTGCTGCAGGTAGAGAAAGAAAAAAATTCGTGGAACAACTTAAAAATGAAAACAGCCCAAATATTCCTTAAAATGTGTGAAAGGCTAATCTATCTGCACAAAATGCCCAAGTGTACAGCTACATATTACTCTGATTAAAAACTCATCATTAGCTATCAGTTTATGATGACAGAAACACCTTCCTATATAAATTTGTTTCCTTCTTAGATTATCTCCACTTTACTAATGAGGAAATGTGAGACCCAGTTAAGGTTAACTCAAGGGGATAGAACTAACAAGAACAATAATTTCAAATCCATGTTCCATGCATGCCTCTTTATGACAATTTTAAGATTCTTGTGAGAATAAACCAAGTGCCTTTTAAATGAAAGCCTGGCTGCCCAGTTTACTTGGCACTGAACAAATAATTAAAATGAAAAAAGAAAAGAAAAGAAAAACTTAGCCTCTTTAGCAAAGATCATCAGTGGATGCTAAGTAACTCTGGAAAGGTTTTGGAAAAACAGAATATTCATTGTTTGTCACCCACAGATTCTTAATTACAAAGGCTCCAACATGGCTCCTGCACTGCTTTTGTCTTCTTATACTCCTTTAATCCTGTACAGTTGTCCAGTCTTTTATGTCTTTGGGGACACTCACAGTTTTAAGAATCTAAGCAGACTATCATTCAATTAGGGAAAATTTAAAAGTCATGTAGAGACGGCTTTTCTGACATCAAGTTTAAACTAACTATGGCTCCTACTGTTTTCTGCTAGCACAGGCCAGCACTTAAGCCACGGAACAAAAACTACACCTTCTAGGTTAGCTATTCCTTACTGAAGATATTTACAAACACCTGGAATGTTGAAGGCATGATATGCTATTATCAAAACTCTAAATTTTACTCTAAACTCAAAACATAGGCAAGTCATTTCCTTTTCTAGGATTTGAACTGTTAGGTTTTGGAAACTTAGGGATGAGTAAAATGACTGCTCTTCTCAGTTAACCTCAGATTCTTAGTCACTGGGACTTTAAAAATGGTAGTTTTATTTCTCCTCCAGTTGGTGGTGGAGAAGTGTGATATAACAAAAGAAATGTTGTTTGAAAAAGTATAACCATCCTGTCACATTTTGCTTCCCTGATTGTCAATTGCTCTCAGTTTTTATTAGAATTTTAGTAATTAAAACCCTTTAACGAAGGCTTTAAATGGCAAGGGCAGGGGATTCAAAAGGAAGTTTATTAGATTCCAGGGCTCTCACTGTATCCTACTGTCAACAACAGTACTGATTACATTTTTTCTACTTCTTCTGTTGTCTGGAAAACTACCTGTTGAGAAGGATAAATATGATTTTCTCCTACTTTGTAAAATAGTAAAAGTCTTCCTACAAATCAAATGTACTACGGAAAACCAAGACATTTTGGACCTAGTCTAGCAGCCTCTCACCATTTCATGAAGCAGCACATTTCCATCTTTAGTGAGCTTGATGTCTCCAGCACCAGAAACAAGCCTGTTCAATGGGCAGAAATGAATCACAGTGTGACTTTTTCAATAGAGACTAAATTAAGAGGCCCATAAAAATCGGGCTTTACCCAGATCCTCAGGAGCTGGGGCCAGGGGTTGGTTCTCTAATTCCGGTAACAGGAATGGTGCAATGCCCACCCCTCCCGTCTGGGAAACAGTCCTCAGGGTCTCTTAGGTCCCAAGCGCGCGGGGCGGCGAGGGCCGCGTAGCGCACGCGGGCAGCTTTGTTCTCGGCGGAGGCGGCATCGACCACCAAAGGAAACGGCCAGGGCCAGAAATAGGACCGACCCGGGACAATGCGGGGAAGAAAGGCCGCCGCGGCGAGCGCAGAGGCCCGGAGGCGGCGGGCTCTAGGCCTCAGTCCCCGGCGCAGGCCCGCGACAGCGCGAGGTGCGCGATGCCAGCCCAGCCCTCCCCGCCAGCCCCGCCTTACATCTTCATGGTGCCCTTAGGCCCCAAGTTGGTCCTCAGCACGTCCTGCAGCCCCCGGGCCGCGCTGATGTTGACCGCCAACGCCGCCTGGGCTCGGGCCACCTCAGCCTTGGGATTCAGGGTCTTCACGGCCGCCATAGCTGACCCAGCAGAAGAAAATGAGGGAACCCGGTATCCGGAGAGCTCAGAGCCGGTTCAGCGTGGCTGTGAGGCGCTATCCGGGTCTTCTGGAAAAGTCGGGCGCGCCGGGCCCGCCTCCAGCGTGCCCGCGCGCCGCCGCCATTGGGCCTTGGGTCGGCCGGTGCCACTCATTGGGTCGCGGCCGCACGTAGCCCCGCCCCTCTCGTTGGCCGCGGCGCCATTGAGCTCGGGAGGAGCGTTTTCCCCTGGCAACCAGGGCTCGCAGGGTGCCCCGTGCGCTCCCTAGCGCCCGGTTTTGCTGACCCCGGACCAGAGGGCGTAGGCGGAGCGGGCTTGTTGGCCGCGTGCGTCAGGGCGTGAGGGGAGAGGCGGCTGCTCTTTCCCGGAGGTCTCCGGCTGCAGGGTGTAGGGTGGGCCTCCTCCCTCCCCCACTCGCGCCGTTTGCCCTTTTTATCGCCTTGCTGCTTTCATCCCGGTCAATAGTTTTCTTGACTGTGTAATGTGTGCTGGACGGTGTTTTAGGTGCTGTGGGCGGGGGCGTAACAGAGTGGATCTGATAAGGACCCTCGACCAGTATCGTAGGTGTTTTAGGCGTAGGGAAGACGAAGAGATATAATGTGAGGTGGAAAGTGCTAGAAGCCTTTAGAAAGCTACGTGATTGGTGCGATGGCAATTGAGGAAAAGCAAGAGTCAGTCCACCCTTCGGGCACACGACACAGTGCTGAGGCTTCAGGCCCTCAAGGCAATTTTGAAAACTCAAACTTTGTTGAGCAGTGGTGTCCGGCCTTTGAGAGGACTCCTTTATTCTGAAAGATGTCCACAACTGTTTTCTCGTATCCAGTTCTCGCCCCCTGCCTAGATACCAGGTATTTACTGATGTTTTGTATTTTATTTTTATAGGTAATGACTAAAACTGTTCAGAATTCAGAAGGTGCCAAAGGGTATATGGTGAAAGGTCTTCCTACCTCCTCTAGTTCAACTTCCTCCTGGCAGGTACCTTTAGCTACATAAGTTTCCTTTAGATAGTGTGAATTCCCCAGATGCTCTCTGAATTTCTAAATAAATACGTATATAAATATAAGAAATTTCCCCCACACAAAATGGCAATTTATAATATGCACTATTGGGTGTGTTACACTTAAAGTATCTTGGAGATTGTTACATATCAATACAAATACGTCTTCCTCATCCTTATTAACAGCTGCATGATATTCTTTGTAAGAATGACCTGATTAGCCAGTCACCTACTGGTTAACATTTAGATTGTTCCCAGTCTTCTCCTAGCGACTGCCTTGGTATATAATGCTTTTAAGTGGTTTTGTGTATTTGAGAATCGCGAAAGCATCTAAGTTTGAGTTACATAGTAGAAGGAGATGCATGATTAGTTCTGGAGATCCTTAATCCTCAAGAAGTAGGTAGCCTAGTTAGGGAGATAAACTTGTAAAAAAATGACAGTAAAGTATAGGATGTTTTATTTAAGGGATGAATGCAGTGCTCTGAGCACAAACGTATTAACTCAGAGTATCAGGGAAGGCTTCTTGGAGGAGGTAAGTTTTGAATGATACATAGATACTTTGCAGGAGAAGAGGGCTTAGGAGTGATATCAGACAGAGAGCGACAGTGGAAGGGCCTGGCATGCCCAGCGGAAGGTGGGTGGATAAGATTTGCAAGAGACAAATCTGGTGAAGTAGCTTGTCCTGACTGTTAGGGCCTGGTTTGCTAGTTAAGAAGTCTGGGCCTAAGCCTGCCAGCTGGATTCTTTGGTGAATCCACCCAAAGAACTAGTGATGAAGGTAACACTGGAGGTGGAATGGAGGATGAACTAAGGGAGAAGACTGAGGATAGGGCAATCAGAAAGAAAGGGGTTGAAAAGTCCATGCAGAAGGTGATGAAACATTTTTAATAACATAAATAAGGGGGAAAATCATGTTTTAAATAGCATGTATAATATGTTCTCAGTTTTTAAACCATTCCCCATGCATCTATACAAAAAAGGACAGAGGATATGCATCAAAATATTAACACTGGGGACTTCCCTGGTGGTCCGGTGGCTAAGGCTCCGCACTCCCAGTTCAGGGGGCCCGAGTTCCATCCCTGGTCAGGAAACTAGATCCAACGTGCTGCAGCTAAAAGATCCTGTGTGTTCAACTAAGACCCGGCGCAGCCAAATAAAAATTTAAAAAGATACTAACATTGACTATATTAAAAAAATTTATAATGTTTTCATTTTTGCAGCCCCCCCAATTTATGTATCTATAAAAGCGGGATGCAGAATTCTATACATGAACATATGAAATATACAAAGTATACCCAGTGTCTTATTTTTATGAAATCATGTATATACACATATGATTTCATAAAAATATTAAATATTTAAGGTACTTCCCTTGTGGTCCAGTGGTGAAGACTGCGCTTCCATTGCAGGGGGCACGGGTTCGATCCCTGATCGGGGAACTAAGATCCCACGTGACACTGCCAAAAAAATACATATATATATTAAATATTTATATATATAAAGGACAGGAAGGATATCCTCAAAATGTTGAACATTTTGTTTCTACCTTTGCCAATTTTATAGGTGAAAAATGGTATCTGAAAGTTTTGGGGGTTTTTTTTGGCTGCACCGTGCAGCTTGCAGGATCTTAGTTCCCCCACCAGTGAAAGCGTGGATTCCTAACAACTGGTCCACCAGGGAACTCCCTTATAGTTTTGTTTGTTGAGGGTGAGGCTGAGCATACATCTTATATGTAAGATTCGTTTGTAGGTTTTTTTCTGTGAACTGTCTATTTACATCTTCTGTTTTCCTATTTGGTTTCTTATGGATTTGCAGGAGCTCTCTGTGTTTTCTGTGTTGCAATTAATTTGTCCCAGTGTTATTTATATTTCGTATTTATGCCTTTTTTTCCAATTAAACGTTAAAATTTTTTTCAGGTAGTCAGTTATATTTTTTTCAGGTAGTCAGTTGTATCTTTTTTCTTTTATGTGTGTTTGAATTTTGTGCTATACTGTGTAAAACAAGCTTTACACCCAAAAAAATATTTTTAAATTTCTCCCATGTTTTCTTTTGTATTTTTAAGGTTTTGTGTTTCATTTTAATCTTTGAGTCATTTGGAATTTATTTTATTTTGGTAAGGAATGAGATAATCTGTGATATAATAAAAATATATATTTGGTGTTTGTCTGTGGTTCCTGGAACAGAACTAAACCATTTGTTTTCTGAGAGATAGGAGTGTCTTTTGTTATCCATTACAGTCCCCTTTAGAATATACCTGAGTCTGTGCTATTGAGGTGAGTCAAGGTAGGGACCCTAGATAGCCTCAGGGTGGGGGCTGGTCACTAGGAAGACCAAACATGTGATTAGAGGATGGGAAGTCTCAGCCCCGTGCCTCCAACCTCTGGAGAGTGGAGTGGGGCTGGAGATGGGTTATAAAAATGCTTGAACAATCAGTGTGACATTAACCCATTGATGTCCTGGCAGGGTGGTACACCCAGAGGGCATGCTAGCTCTGCGTTACTCCCCCAGTACCTTGTCCTGTGCACCTCTTCCATCTGGGTGTGCCTGAGTTGTATCCTTTCTAATAAGCTACTAAACCTAAGTCAAGTGATTTCCTGAGTTGTGGGTCAGTCTCAAAAATTTTCAGTTTCCCCTAAGGAGGGGATTTTGTGGGAACCCCCGAATCTGTAGCCAAGTTGGACAGAAGTGTGGGTAGCTTAGGGACCTGGGACTTGCAACTAGTGTCTGAGTGGAGGCAGTCCTGTGGGTCTGAACCCTTAACTGTGGGGGTTGCCCTAACTCCAGATAGTGTCAGGATTGAGTTGCTGGATGCCCAGTTGGTGGTGGAGAATCAGATAGTTGGTTTCTGAGAATTGGTGCTTGGGAAAAACACAGAATCCAATTTAATTTTTCTTCCAGAATAATTAATGTTTTCCACCATTAATGTGTAATATAATTATTAGCATATACTACATTTCCCAGATGTATCTGGATCTACTTTGGACTATATTCAGTTCCATACTGTTGTAAGTTTCAATACCATATTGTTTTATTTACTATAGTTTTACAGTATGTTTCAAAATTTGGTAGGGCCAGATCCTCTTCATCAATCTTTTTTCAGAAAATTTCTGGCTATTTTGCATGTTTGTTTTTCTTTTTAAATAAATAATAGAATTAATCTAGTTTTTCAGAATCTTTTTTTATTACTTTTTAAGTAAAATACATGTTTTAACAGGTGGAATATTCAAATTTATGCAATGGAAGTGGAGATAGCAAAAGGCCAGGGGCTAGAGGCATTTCTGATATAAAATTGACTGAATTTCGAAACATGTGCTACATAGTTACCATTTCTAGTCTAGGAGTCTGAAGAGGTCAAGGAAATTCCAGAGAAGGGGCAGGTTTTGTATGGGGAGGTGGGGTAACAATATTGATTTTAGGTAATGTTTCTTCTGTTGTTGGCCATTCATTCTCTGAGTGTCTACTGTGTTGCCGAGTACTGTGCTTGGAGTAAATATACACATGAAAAGAGAAGGCCCCTTCAAAGACTTCCCAGTGTAGAGAGACAAACACACAATAACATACATAATATATACAATATACTAAAGACCTGTTGTGGTATGTATAATATCAGTGCATGCTATTTAGAGAAGACTTCCTAAAGCAAATCTTTTTCTTAACTATTGAAAAAATATATTTGATTTTCTTATTACAAAAATAATACATAATCATTATAGAAAAAGTAGCAGAAGCAAATAAATTTAAAATAAATTCATAATCTCATTGCTCAGAGGTGACCATTTGTGATGGTTAATTTTATGTGTCAATGTGGCTGGGCCATGGTGCCCAGATATTAGGTCAAACATTACTCTGGACATTTCTGTGAAGGTGTTTTTTTTTTGGATAAGATTAACATTTAAATTGGTGGATTTAAAATTTAAACATTAAATTTACTCTATTGTAAAGCAGAGTATCCTACAATAACGGGTGGGCCTCCTCCAATCAGCCGAAGGCCTGAATAGAGCAAAGACATATCTCCCCCTAGCAAGAATAAATTCTGCTAGCAGACAGCCTTTGGGTTACCAACCCTCTATGATCATGTGAGGCAGTTCCTTAAAGTAAATCAATCAATCTCTCATTTTAACGTGGATGATGCCCTACATGTCTTCACTTTAACAGTAGATACGCTGTGAGGCTGTATATCTATATATCTAGATTGATATGTATAGTTAGATATCTAGATACACATTCCGTTGGTTCTGTTTCTCAGGAGAATCTTGACTAATACAGATTATGGTGCTGATAAGGCTTCTAAAGGAGCAGAATCTTAAGGATGAATTTTCTGAATTGGTTCTGGGGTTTTTGGAATTGGCTCTCTAATATTAGATTTAAAGACTAATGATTCTGTTTCTAATAATAAAGAGAGTAGTAGTAGTGGTATAGTTCGTGGCATGTTATGAAAATAGAAATATGCAAAATATCCCAATTGGATGCTCCTAATCAAACACAAGGGGCAAGGACCTGGGTAACCATATATATGATACCTTCGAACATGTTTGACAAACTAATGCATATAATGAGGTTGGCTGGTTGCTTCTAATGTCACTGGACAAAGTCGGGGAAGAAAAGGATGAGATCAGGGATTCAAATTCCCAGCTTAAGCAATATATAAATCACCTGAAATCTTCTATGTCTATCCTGAAAGAGACTTTTAGCTCCTATAGCCACAGGGCTGAGATTGCTGAAATCTTATCATGTGAGTGGCTGAATTACAATGCAAATTGAAAAGTGAGGGCATTATGAGGAAGGAATGGGATCTGAAATATGGAGTGGGACGTGTGGGAATACCCTGATGAAGCTGGGGACATTGAGTGCCTACATACTGTTGAATCTTCTTTGCCAGTAGAAGCAGCCTCTCTAACCCTGTCTGTGGAGATTTACGCTACGTTGCTCTGTGAAACTGTAATGGCCTCCCCTGAGGCAGTTGCCTTGCAAAATACTGGTGATTCTCTTCAGGACTCACCCCTTTTTGCTTCTGAAGCTGTAACTAGACTAAAGTCTCAGTAGGCCCTGGAGGCACAAGTAAGTTACATGAAGAAGGGGCCTAAATATCCATGATCCCAACTCATGCTATCTTATCTTCTCTCTCTCAGCCTGCACCTATGGCCTCATAGGAAGTTCCCTGTGATCAGTTGACAGAGGATGAGAAAACTTGGGCCTGGTTTACTGATGGTTCTTCAGGACATGCAGACTCCACCTAAAAGTGGACAGCTGTAGTACTGTAGCTCCTTTCTGGGACATTCCTGAAGGATAATGGTAAAAGGAAATCCTCCCAGTGGGCAGAACTTCAAGCAGTGCAACTGGTTTTTCATTTTGTTTAGAAAGAGAAAAGGCCTGATGAGTGATTATATGCCAGTTCATGGGCTATGGCCAGTGCTTCGGCTGGATGGTCATGGACTTGGAAGAAACATGATTAGAAAATTGGTGACAAGGAAGTCTTGGAAAGAGATACATGGATTGACCTCTCTGAATGGGTGAACAACATGAAGATATTTGTGTCCCATGTGAATGCTCACCAAAGGGTGACCTCAGCAGAGGAAGATTTTCGTAAGTGGCTAGAATAATTTATTCTGTGGATACCAGTTGGCCTCCTTCCCTAGCCATCCCTGTCATTGCCCAGTGAAGTTATGAAAAAAGTGGCCCTGGGGGCAGGGATGGAGGTTATGCATGGGATCAGCAACATGGGCTTCCATTCACCAAGGCTAACTTGACTACCCCCACCGCTGAGTGCTCAAATTGAGTGATATGACACTCAATCCCTGATATGACACCATTCTCTGGGGTGATCAGCCAGCTACGTGGTGGTAGGTTGATTACACTGCACCATACGTCTGTCATGGAAGGGGCAACGTTTTGTTATTGGAATAGACACTCCGGATATGGATTTGCTTTCCCTGCATACAATGCTTCTGCCAAAACTACCATCCGTGGACTTAGAGAATGCCTTATCCACCATCATGGTATTCCACACAGCATTGCTTCTATTCAAAGAACTCATTTGATAGCAAAGGAAGTGCAGCAATGGGCCCATGCTCATGGAATTCACTGATGTTACCATGTTCCCCACCCTCCTGAAGCAGCTTGATAGAATGGCAGAATGGCTTTTCAAAGACTCAGTTATTGGGCTAGCTAGGTGGCAGTCCCTTGCAGGGCTGGGAAAAAGTTCTCCAGGAGGCTTATATGCTCTGAATCAATGTCCAATATACAGTGCTGTTTCTCCCACAGCCGGGATTCACAGGTATCTAGGAGTAGAAATGAGAGTGGCACCCCTAGTGACCCACTAGTAAAATTTTCGCTACCTGTCCTCATGACCTTATGTTCTACTAGCCTACAGGTCTTAGTTCCAAAGGGAGAAATGCTTCTACTAGGAGACACAATAATAATTCCATGGAACTGGAAATTAATACTGCCACTCAGCCACTTTGAGCTCCTCATGCCTCTGGGTCAACAGGGAAAGAAGAGTTTTACTGGGCTGACTGGGGTGATTGATCCTGACTACCAAAGGGAAATTGAGGAATTGCCTGGCACCCAGTGGTTAAGACTCAGCGTTTTCACTGCAGGGCCCCATGTTCGATCCCTGGTCAGGGAACTGGGATGCTGCAAACTGCACGGTGCAGACAAAAACAGCAACAACAACAACAAAACAAACCAAAAAAAACAAAGGGAAACTGGACTACTCCTCCACAACACAGATAGTCTGGGATACAAGAGATCCCACAAGGTGTCTCTTAGTATTACCATGCCTGTGATTAAAGTCAGTGGAAAACTATAACAACTCAATTCAGGCAGGATTATTAATGGCCCAGGACCCTTCAGGCATGAAGATTTGGGCCACTCCAACAAATAAAGAACTGTGACTTGCTGAAGTGCTTGCTGAGGGCAACAGGAACACTGTATGGGAGTAGAAGAAGGTAGTTCTAAATACCATCAGCAACCACACGACCAGTTACAGAAACGAGGACTGTATTTGTCGAGTATTTTTTCCTTATGTTATTATTAATACGTGTGCGTGTGTCTCGAGCAAATATCTTTGTTTTCTTCTCTGTCTTATTCCTTTATCAGGTAACATAGTCATGTAACATTATTGACTTTATGTCATAGTATTTATTGTTAACTTTATAGCATAGTTTTTAAGTTATGGGGTATCAGGAAGAAGAATAAACATCACCCAAGGACTTTGCATTCTCTTCTGGGGAAAGGGTTAGGGTGTTTTCAGTTGTCTATGCAGGAGAGTTGTATCATGTTAGGCAAACTTACGACCTCGTTACTGTCTTTATTCGATTATTAAATTTGAGGAGATGCATACGAGTGCCAACTAGACAAGGGGTGGACTTGTGATGGTTATGTGTTAACCTGACTGGGCCACAGTACACAGATATATGGACAGACATTATTCTGGATGTTTCTGTGAAGGTGTGTTTTGGATACGATTAACATTTAACTCAGTGGACTTTGAGTAAAGCAGATTATGCTATATAACATGTGTGGGCCTCATTCAATCAGTTGAAGACCTTAATAGAACAAAAACCTTACCTCCCCCTAGCAACACAGAGTTCTGCCAGCTGACTGCCTTTGGACTTGAACTGCAGCTCTTCCCTGGGTCTCCAGTCTGCTGCCCTATCCTGCAGATTTTGAACTCACCAAGCTTCCACGGTCACGTGAGCCAATCCCTTAAAGTACCTCTCTCTCTCTCTCTTTCTCTGTCTCTCTGTGGTGTGTGTGTATGTGTGTGTATAGTACAGGTATACCTTGTTTTATTGCACTTCATTTTATTGCATTTCACAAATATTCCGCTTTTTACAAATTGAAGGTTTGTGACAACCCTGCATTGAGGAAAGTCTACTGGCACCATTTTTCTAGCACCATTTGCTTATTTCATGTCTCTGTGTCACATTTTACTAATTCTTGCAATATTTCAAATTTTTTCATTATTATTATCTTTGTTATGGTGACCTGTGATCAGTGATCTTTGATGTTACTGTTGTAATTATTTGGGGACACCATGAAACCTGCCCACATGAGATGGTGAGCTTAATAAATGTGGGCATTCTGACTGCTCCATCTACCAGCCATTTCCCCATCTCTCTCCCTCTCCTTGGGCCTCCTTATTTTCTGAGACACACAAATTTTTTTTTTTATATTTCATATTTTATTTTTTTTGAATTTTATTTTATTTATTTTTTATACAGCAGGTTCTTATTAGTTATCCATTTTATACATATTAGTGTATACATGTCATTCCCAATCTCCCAATTCATAACGCCCCCCCCCCCCACTTTCCCCCCTTGGTGTCTGAGACACAAAAATTTTGAAACAGGGCCAATTAATAATTCTACAGTGGCCTCTGAGTGTTCAAGTGAAAGAAAGGGTCGCATGTCTCTCATGTTAAAAGCTAGAAATAATTAAGCTTTGTGAGGAAGGCATGTCGAAGTTTGAGACAAGCTGAAAGCTAGGCCTCCTGTGCCAGTTAGCCAAGTTGTGAATGCAGAGGAAAAGTTTTTGAAGGAAATTACAAGTGCTACTCCAGTGAACACACAAATAAAAAAGCAAAATGGCCTTATTGCTGATATGGAGAAAGTTTTAGTGGCCTGGTTAGAAGATTAAACCAGCCACAACGTTCCCTTAAATCAAAGCCTAGTCCACAGGAAGGCCCTAACTCTCTTCAATTCTATGAAGGCTGAGAGAGGTAAGGAAACTGCAGAGTAAAAGTTTGAAGCTAGCTGAGGTTGGTTCACGAGGTCTAAGGAAAGAAGCCATCTCTAATGTAAAAGTGCAAGGTGAAGCCACAAGTGCTGATGCAGAAGCTGCAGCAAATTATCCAGAAGATCTAGTGAAGATAATTAATGAAGCTGGCTACACTAAATAACAGATTTTCAATGTAGATTAAACAGCCTTATATTGGAAGAAGATGCTGTCTAGGACTCTTATACCTAGAGAGGAGAAGTCAATGCCTGGCTTCAAAGCTTCAAAGGACAGGCAGACTCTTTTGTTAGGGGCTAATGCAGCTGGTGACTTTAATTTGAAACTAGTGCTCATTTACCATTCTGAAAATCCTAGGACCCTTAAGAATTATGCTAAATCTATTCTGCCTACGGTTTATAAATGGAACAGCAAAGCCTGGATGATAGAACATCTGTTTATAATATAGTTTATTCAGTAATTAAAGCCCACTGAGACCTACTGCTCAGAAAAAGATTCCTTTCCAAATATTACTACTCACTGACAATATACCTGGTCACCCAAGAGCTCTGATGGAATGTACAATGAGATTAACATTTTCATGTCTGCTAACACAACATCCATTCTGCACAAGGAGAAATTTTGACTTTCAAGTCTTATGACTTAAGAAATACATTTCATAAGGCTATAGCTGCCATAGACAGTGATTCCTCTGATGGATTTGGGCAAAGTCAATTGAAAATCTTCTGGGGACTTCCCTGGTGGTGCAGTGGTTAAGAATCCACCTGCCATTGCAGGGGACATGGGTTCAAGCCCTGGTGCAAGAAGATCCCACATGCTGTGGAGCAACTAAGCCTGTGTGCCACAAGTGCTGAGCCTGTGCTTTAAAGCCTGTGAGCCACAACTACTGAGCCCATGTGCCAAAACTACTGAAGCCCGTGTGCCTAGGGCCTGTGCTCTGCAACAAGAGAAGCCACTGCAATAAGAAGCCCGCGCACTGCAACAAAGAGTAGCCCTCTCTCGCCACAACTAGAGAAAGCCCATGCACAGCAGCAAAGACCCAACACAGCTAAAAATAAATAAATAAATATATATATTTTTTTAAAAAAGAGAAGAAAACCTTCTGGAAAGGATTCACCATTCTAGATGCTATTAAGAACGTTAAGAAAATATTTGTACTTTATGGGAAGAGGTCAAAACATCAACACTAATAGGAGTTTGGAAGAAGTTGATTTCAACCCTCATGGATGACTTTGAGGGGTTCAAGACTTCAGTGGAGGAAGTAACTGCAAACGTGGTGGAAACAAGAGAGCTAGAATTAGAAGTGGGAGTCTGAAGATGTGACTGCATTGCTGTAACCTCCAGATACAACTTTAATGGATGAGGAGTTGCTTCTTATGGTTGAGGAAAGAAGATGGTTTCTTTTTTCTTCTTTACTTTTTAAAAAATATTTATTCATTTATTTTGGCTGCACTGGGTCATGTGGGCTCTTTTTTTAGTTACGGCATGTGGGCACTTAGTTGTGGCATGTGGGCTCTTAGTTGTGGCATGTGGCATCTAGTTTCCTGACCAGGGATCAAACTTGGGCCCCCTGCATTGAGAGCAGGGAGTCTTAACCACTGGACCACCAGGGAACTCCCAAGAAAGTGGTTTCTTGAAATGGAACCTATGCATGGTGAAGATGCTGTGAAGATTGTTAAAATAACAAAGGATTTAGAATATTACATAAACTCAGTTGATAAAGCAGCAGCAGGATTTAAGAGGACTGTTTCCAGTTTTGAAAGAAGTTCTACTGTGGGTAACATGCTATAAAACAGCATTGCCGCTACAGAGAAATCGTTCACGATGGGAATACTCAATTGATGCAGCAAACTTCATCACTGCCTTATTTTTAAAAAATTGTGACAGCCACCCCAGCCTTCAGCAACCTGATCAGTCATCAGATATCAGCAATACGCTCCACCAGCAAAAAGATTACAACTCACTGAAGACTCAAATGATAGCAGTTTTTAGCAGTATTTTTAGATTAAGGTGTGTATTCTTTTTTTAACAAATAATGCTATCACACACTTAGTAGACTACATTACAGTGTAAACATAACTTTTATATGCACTGGGAAGCCAAAACATTTGTGTGACTTGCTTTGTTGTGATAGTCACTTTATTGGAGTGGTCTGCAGTATCTCCAAGGTATGCCTGTACACACACACACACACACACACACACATCCCTATATATGTAAAGATATATATATATATACATAACAAAAATCATACAGTATTTGTCTTTTTGTGACTGAATTATTCCACTTAGCAGACGTCCTCAAGTTTCATTCGTGTTATAGCATATTGCAGAATTTCCTTCCTTTTTAACGCTGGACAACATTCCATTGATGGTATATACCACATTATGCTTATCCATGCATCCATTGATGAATACTTGGGCTGTTTCCATGTTTTAGCTATTGTGAATAATGCTGCCGTGAAACGGGTGTACAAATATCTCTTCGAGACCCTACTTTCAATTCTTTTGGGTATATACCCAGAAGTGGAATTTCTGGGTCATATAGTAATTCCAATTTTAATTTTTTGAGGACCCATCATACTGTTTTCCACAGTAGCTGTGCCATTTTACATCCCCACCAACAGTGCACAAGTGTTCTAATTTCTCAACATCCTCATCAACAGTTGTTGTTTTCTGATAGTAGCCATCCTAATGGGTATGAGGTGGGTATCTCATTGTAATTTTGATTTGCATTTCCCTTAGGATTAGTGATGTTGAACTCCTTTCATGTGCTTATTTGCTATTTGTATATCTTCTTTGGAGAAATATCTATTCAAGTCCTTTGACCGTTTTTGAATTGGGTTTTTTTGTTGTTGAGTTTTAGGAGTTCTCTGTATATTCTGAATATTAATCCCTTATCAGATATATGATTTGAAAATATTTTCTCTCATTCTGTGGGTTACCTTTTTACTCTGTGGATACTGTTTCTTGATGAACAACATTTTAAAATTTTCACGAAATCCAATTTGTCTGTTTTTTATTTTGTTATGTGTGCCGTTGGTGTCATATCCAAGAAATCATTGCCAAATCAAATGTTTTGCAGCTTTTGTCCTTTTTATTCTAAGAGTTTTATTGTTTTAGGTCTTACATATAGGTCCTTGACCTATTTTGAATTAATATTTGTATAAGATGTTAGGTCAGGGTCCAGCTTCATTCTTTTTCATGTGAATATCCAGTTTTCCCAGCACTATATGTTGGAAAGATTGTTCCCCCCATTGAATGGTCTTGGCACCCTTGTCAAAAATCATTTAACCATACATGTTTATTTCTGAGCTCCCTATTCTATTCCATTGGTCAATATGTCTGTCTTTATGCCAATACCATACTGTTTTTTTGTTTGTTTTTCATACTGTTTTGATTACCATAGATTTGTAGTAAGTTTTGAAATTAGGAAGTGTGAGTCTTCCAGTTTTGTTCTTCTTCAAGGTTGTTTTAGGACATATACAGGGTCCCTTGAGACTACATATGAATTTTAGGATAGGTTTTTCTATTTCTGCAAAAAATATCATTGGAATTTTGTTAGAGATTGCATTGAATCTACAGATTGCTTTGGGTAGTATTGCCATTTTAACAATATTAAGTCTTCTAATCCATGAATATGGGATGTGTTCCATTTATTTATATCCTTTTTAATTTCCTTTAGCAATATTTTGTACTTTTCATTGTATGAGTCTCTCACCTCCTTGGTTAAATTAATTCCTAAGTTTTTTGGTGCTATTGTAAATGGAATTATTTTAAATTTCTTGTCAGATTGTTTATTATTGGTGTATAGAAATGCAACTGATTTTTTCGTGTTAACTTTTTTTTTTTTTTTTTTTTTTTTGCGGTATGTGGGCCTCTCACTGTTGTGGCCTCTCCTGTTGCGGAGCACAGGCTCCGGACGCGCAGGCTCAGCGGCCATGGCTCTCAGGCCCAGC